CCGAATTTTCTTTGCTTTGTTATTTAATGGTGTACCACCTTTTATTTTGGCATTAATATTCTTTTGTGAGAGGAGGCTTGAGCAGGGTCTCGCTACATAGTTCAGGCTGCCCTTAAATTCACTGTGTAGTCCCGGATGGCCTCAGACTCACAGTGATCCTCCTGCCTCTGCCTCCCAAGAGCTGGGATTTCAAGCATATGCCACCACACCTGGCCAGTATTTTAATCCTTAAAGAATAGTCACTGATGTTTGCTTTTATCTCTTATGATCAGCTATAATGTTTCTATTTGGTGCCCTTTTGTAATTTATACTTTCCATTATTGTATTTGCATGCTTATTTAAGTTTGGGTCAGAAGCCCTGAATGTAACAGAATACAGTGTACTGTACTGCTGTTGCAGTCGCTTCAGCATGAGGCTTTAGCAGGCAGAGCTTTGAGATCGCTAATTGAATTCATTTCTGTTAGATCGAGTTTTGTAATAAATACCTAACAAGAAATTCTTTAGTTAGATACTTCTAATCTTTTGTATAATAATCCTGAGTCTGCCACCTGGATAGTGGATGTTCTAAACATAAAGAGAATCATATTTACTTCTATAGCAAAAAAAATACAGTGACTTAAGGGCATTCTAAACAGTTTGGGTGAAAGTGAGCAGCTACACATTCTGTGGCCACAGTGATGAGCTTGGGTGACGCTGCTAGACAGGCAGAGTTATCTTTAGTGAGTGGTTTGGTACCCTCTCCCCACCTCCCCATTCTAAACTGATTACAAGTTTAAGGGAAGAAAGTCGTTGCTCATATTAGTGTTTTCTAGTTAAGCAGACCAGTTTCATTTTGAGGACTAACAACTGTAGGCTTGTGGGTAGTGAAATGGGACATTGTAGAAATTCTGGAGACCGCAGTCAGAGCATAGATATTCATTGACAGTAGAAGGACAAACGAAACTCTTAAGGACTCACTGTTTATCTCTTGGATTAATTGAGATGATGAGTAGATGTAAAGCATATTAAAAGTGCCTAGCATATTGAAGAGAGTTCATAAATGAAAGTTAGTTTTTAAATTTATCACCTTCCTGTTTTGTGTCCACTTCAGTAGTATTAAGAGCATTCCCATCATTGTGAAACAGATTTCTAAATTTTTTTATCTTATAAAACTGAGACTCTTTTCCCATTTAATAACAGCAACAACAAAAAAATTTCCATTTCCCCCTCCCTCCAGTTCCTAGTAATCACCATTGTACTTTGTTTCTATGAATTTGGCTACTTTAGATACCTCATATAAAAGAAATCATACAGTGTGTGTCTTTTTGTGAATGACTTATGTGACTCATCATAGTGTTCTCAGTTTCCCCATGTTGTGGCATGTGACAGGATCTCTGTAAGGCTGAATAATACTCCTTTGTATGGATAGATCACACTTTGCCTGTCCATCATTTGAGTACTAGATGATATACTCATCTGGGTTGCTCCCACCTCTTGGCTGTTGTGAATAATGCTGGCATAACTCTGGGTATGTAAATAAATCTCTTTCTCAGGTCCTGGGTTTAATTCCATTGGATGTATCCCCAGAAGTAGGGTTGCTGAATCATTCGTAGTTATGTTTTTTAAGTTTTTGAGGAGTCATCATACCATTTTCCATTGTGGTTATACCATTTTACAATCCCACCACCTGTTCAGGGGTTTCAGTTTCTCCACATCTTCATCAATACTTGTTATTCTCTATTTTGTTTATTTTGGTATCAGCCACATTCATGGGTATGAGGTATTATCTTATTGTGGTTTTGTCTGCATTACTGTAGTAAGTGGTATTGAGCATCTTTTTACATAATATTGCTCATTTGTATGCCATCTTTGGTGAAATATTTAAAGTATTTTGCCCATTTTAAATATTGGGTTACTGTATTTCTGTTAATTGTAGGAGTTTTGGATATTAATCCCTTACTATATTTTTGCAAGTATTTTCTTCTATTCTACAAGGGGGAATCCATAGAATTCCTTTTTCTCTCTATTGATTGCACTTTGGGCCTTTAAGTTTGATGTAGTCCACTTGCCCATTTTTGCTCTTGTTCCCTATACTTTTGCTATCATATCTAAAAAAATCATTATCAAATCCAACGTCATATAGCTTTTCCCCTAAGTTTTTTTTCCAGAATTCTTATAGTTTGGGGTCTTACTTTAGGCATTATTTCTATTTTGAGTTAAATTTTGTATCTGGCATAAGATAATGGTTCAAGTTTTGCATATAGATATTGTTTTCTTATTGCCATTTGTTGAAGAGACTGTTTTTTCTCCACTGAGTTGTCTTGGCTTCCTTGTCCATGATCATTTGATCATGTATGTGGGCATTTATTTCAGGCTGTTTTATTTCATTGGTTTCTATGTGTGTCTTTATGCCAGTACCATACTATTTCGAGTGTTTTACTTTATACTACATTTTGAAATCAGAAAATATAGGACCTCAAACTTCGTTGTTCTTTTTCCAGATTGGCTATTCAGAGTCATTTGACATTCTGTATGACTTTTAGGATGGATTTTTCTATTTCTGCAAAAATGTCATTGGGATTTTAGATTCCATCGAATCTGTAGACTGCTTTGGGCACTGTTGACATCTTAACAATATTTAATCTTCAAATCTATTACCTAATCTGTGTGTCTTTTTTTTTTGGTACCGGGGATCGAACTTGGGTCCTTGTGCTTGCGAGGCATTCGGCAGAACCACTGAGCTAAATCCCTGGCCCTCTTCTGTGTGTCGTTTAAAATTATTTTCAGAAATCTTTTGTAGTTTTCAATGTACAAGTCATTCTCCCCTATGCTTGAATGTTGTTTAATTTTTTAGAAGACTGGATGAATATTACTGAAACCATTCTCAACCGTCAGAGATAGATAATTGAGGAGGAAAAAAATGTAATCCAACCTCATTAAAAAAACAGAATAGAAGGGACTAAGCTGAAAGCAAGTGTCTTTCTTTCTTCAAGCTCCATTTCATTCTGTAGAAGGAACTAGTCTTAATGGGGTTTAATATCACATGCCAGATAATTTCTTTTCATGTGTGAACAAGTATATCCATTTTACATTTATGATGTACCATGTGTATTATGCAATTTGGACTTTTAACTTGAGTTAGACCTTTTAATATGTGTCTCATTTTTTAAAGTTAGGTATAATTGACCAACCAGAAGTGTACATATTCACTGTGTGTATATATCATTGTTCTTAATGACTGTAGAGCACATCACTCTATGGAGGTGGCCTAAATCATTCAGTGAGCCCTGATTTGATGGTTCCCATACTTAGCCAGTGGTAACTTTTGGCTGCTTAACAGTGTTCCTCAGAATCTGAACTCCAAATATTAACCTCAACCAAATATTCCAGGCATGGTAAAGGAGTAGGAATAATCTAAAAAGGAGCCTTTCATGTTATTTTATTTAGAACAAGTTCTTTAAGAGAGACAGTCTCTTTTGTGCCTAGTCTTGAATTACCCAATAAAGCAATTAGTATTCACACCCAATTATTTAGAAAATTACAGAGTTGGGTGGAGAGGACACACTGAATAGCATCAGCTTCCTTTTCATTTCCTTTTTGATGACTGTGGAAAGACTTTTTATTTTGTTTAGGTTTTGACCCAGGCCTAGGTTATGAGTGTAGGAATTCACAGAATTAAAATCCAACAAAGGTCTTTCTTTACCTCTTGTTGTTTCAGAAATGTTTGTTTAGCTCTGTGAATAACTTTCCAAGCAGATTTAGCAGACGGGCAAGCATCACCAAGGAGAAAAATGTTATTTCTTTTAGTTGCTATTATTTCATTGATTTTCAGCTCTCTTTAGCGAGAAGCTAGTCATCAGCTCACCCACCCAGCACGTGTGCTCTTAGGGCATGCCAGCAGCTTGTGGAGGTTTCCTTTGCCTTTTCCCCACTCTCAAAGTCTAGGCATTGTTTTTGCAGTGTTTTGTGTAGGGAAGACAGTGTAGAAATGCATGTTAATAGGAAAATAACCTTTGTTTTCCTAATAACACATCCTTCAGCTTTTTACTTTTTCAAGACTATCTTTGTGTGGCTTCCTCACCCTTGGAAAGGACATCAGGGCATAGCTCTTCCTAGGTCATCTGGAATTTCTGGAAGTCACTTGGAATTCAAGTGACAAGAAAAACTATCAACATTGACAATCAGAACAGATTCCTGGTGCCTTTAGCATTTTCCCAGAGCTTGACAGACATGTCCTATTGACTAACACTGTAACATTCAGATGTGATCATTGTCCTCTGAGCTATGCATAGTTACGTTCTAGTATTTGTTACAATAATATAAAAATCCATTGCTCCTTTTCAGTGGACATTCGCTTCCAAAATAATGGTGACTTTATTTCACTGGCACTGCTAATCATTTTGCAGTTCTCCAAATAAATTTCCTTTTTAAGTGTCTTCAATGAATATTTGAATTGGAAGGCATAGCCAAAAGTAATTATTCTTATAATAGAACTATTATCAACATTCAGACCAAAGTTTTTTGAAATTCCTTGATCATTCTGTAAGACCATCTGTTATGGTTTATATCTAGATGTCCCCCCAAAGCCTCATGTGCTCATAGGTGGGGATTTGGGCAGGTGATTGGATCATGGGGCTGAGATATTCATCAGTGTAGGTTAGTCCACTAATGAGTTTATAGCTCATTGTGATTTGGAGGTGAAGCCTGGTTGGAGGAGGTGGCCACTGGGGGCGTGGCCCGGAAGGGTCTCTTTCCTTCCCTCCGCCCTTGATCTTTCTGTTTGCATCCCGCTGCCAGGACATGAACAGACCTCCTCTGTGATGCCCTCTGCCATGCCACCCTGCTGTGGAGCCAGCTGACTATGGACTGAAACCTCTACAAACTGAAACAGAATAAACCTGGCCTCCTTAGAGTTGTGGGTGTTGAATATTGTGTCTTGGCAATGAGGAAGTGACTAAGACACTATCTCATACCCCTTATAAATTCATATGATCATCATTTTCGTTTTGTTCTGTGAACAGTGTGGTGACTCTTTCTGATTGATAAAGAAGACCTCAAATACTTCAGCCATTAAAGATAGAACTTCAGGAGCATGTACTGGAGAACATTGTTGGAAACCAACTTTAAAGTTGCTGCAGCCAAACAGTCAGTGGCCAAGTAAGTAGGATTAAATGTGAATTACATATTCTTTTTAAAAAGTATCTGAAAATGAAGTTTTGAAAATTGGCCTGAATTCACTTCTAAAAAAATCTACATTTTAATTCTATTGCATCTTAAAAACATACCAAGTAATACATTTCATTCATTTACAAGCATACCGAATCCCCCTATTCTGGGGTATATTTGTGATGCTCTCAGGATTTTAAAAAAATTAATTTTATTAGTGTATTTTAGGTATACATAATAATAACATTCATCAGATGGCATTTGTACTTATAGATGATATATCTTTATTCTTCTTTTCTCCCTTCTCCTTCCTCTTCTTTCAACCCATCTTCCCCTCCTTATTTTCAAAAGCTTTGTTTCCACTTTTTCCTTCTATTCTCTTTTTATTCTTTTCCCTTCCTTCCTTTCCCCCTCGCCTCTCCCTAGTTCCCCTTCCCATTTGAACATTTTCTTCCTATTTCACAGTATCTACATTTTTGTCCTTATTTGTACTTTCAGTTTTTCACACCAGAGAAAGCATGTAATATTTGAATATGTGTGTTCGATTTATGTCATTCAAGTATGGTCTCAAGGTGCATCCATTTACCTAGAAATGTCTCAAGCTTATCCTTCTTTATGGCAGAATGGTACTCCATTGTATAAAAAAACACATCTTCTTTATCCATACATCAGTTTATGAGCATTTGGGCTGTTTCCAAGATTGAGCTATTATAAACTGTGGTGCTCTAAACATGGATGTGCATATATTGCTGTGGTATGATGCTTTTAATTATTTTGAGAAGATACCAAGTAGGGGAATAGCTGAGTTGAATGGAACCTCTAGTTTTAGTTTTTTGAGGAATTTCCCTACTGATTTCCCCAGTGGTTGCACCAGTCTATACTCCCACCAACAGTGAAGAAGGGTTCCTTTTTCCCCATAGACCCACCAGTATTTGTTATTGGTTGACTTCTTGATATTAGGCATTCTTTCTGGAGTGAAGTAGAATCTCAGTGTTGTTTTAATGATCAGTGATGTTGAACATTTTTTCATATATTCATTTGCTGTTTCTACTTCATCTGAGAAATGTATATTCATTTCAGATGCCCATTTTTGGATTGGTTTTTTAAATTTGGGCGGTCTGATTTTGCTTTGGGCTTGACTTACTCTTGTTTTTCTAGAAGCTTCTACTCCTAGAATTTTTGATCCATAATAGAACTATAACGGAAACAGTCATATAAAAGAAAAAATAATATTATAATAGAATTTGCCATGTTCTTTTCTCACTAGCCCTGGGGGCATTTGAAGAACTTCCAAATAATGGCTTTTGTGACCCAGATATGCTCCATAAATTGCCTGTTGAATTCAAAACAAAACATTGTTTAAAAGTTTATTTTGTAGCTGTAATAAACTGGTGGTGTGGGTCGTGCCTGTGATTCTAGCACTCAGGGAGGCTGAGGCAGGAGGATTGTAATTTTAAGTCCTGCCTGAGCAACTTAGCGAGACCCTGTCTCAGTTTAAACACATACACACACACACACACACACACACACACACACACACGGTAGCTCAGTGGTAGAGTGCCTCTGGGTTCTATCTCCAGTACCACCAAAAACAAAAAGGTTGTTACAGTGTTATCCATATAGCTGGTACCTAGAACCTTGTGCAAATTGTCCCACTGAGTTTCATCAAGGTTGTATCTAGCATTTGGAGTTTTTAGATTTGTTGGATGACAGAAAAACTTTTAAATGGGCCACTCTGATGGATCTACAAATCAACATGATATCGATACTGAAGCCTTTTGCATTAACAAGCATAAGTTTTTTTAAGCAAGTTGTAAAGGAGCCAGTGTAACAGTTAATGAGTTATTCAGGTGTGTAGAGCTTTAATGAGGTTATTGAGAACGCTTACATTCTAGTTTCAGTAGTGTACAGGCATTTGCATCAGGCGCTTAGTAAAATTCATTAGTCACTTGAAACTTTCTATAGACTCTGCAGAGACAAACTCAGACACACAAGGAGGTAATAGTAACCATTTATTGGGCATGTTCAGTGTGCCAAGTACTTGGGTAAATATTTTGTTTATTTTATAATTACTGCTTTGAGTGGTTCTAGAATGATTTCTGTACGTGAACATAATATAAGGATTTGGGAGAGTGGAATATCTAAAAAATATATGCATTGCTACAAATACAGTTTGTTTTTCAGTTTTAACATAAATGATAAAGTATACACGTTGTATTCCTTCTACTATCAGTTTCTTTTTTTCTCTGAGTATATTAGATATTCTCCTGTCAGGACCCATGGGCCTTGGATGTTGATGCTCTTTGTAACTGCCAGGCGTAGGGTTTGTAAGCACTAGTTCCCAAACCTAGCTATGCATCAGACTCACCCATGGAGCATGGAACAGTACCCATAACTGGGCCCCAATACTGGAGATTCTGAGTTCCTTGATGTGGGGTACAGCCTTGATAATGGGGCATGGGTATCTAGCATTTACTGTGGGACAGTACTATACTGAAGGACATTTAGATGATGCTCTATTACAAATCACAAACCCATTTTCTATTATAAGATGATAGTGATTTTCCTTATTAATACATCTCTGTGCCCATGTATGAATATATTTGCAGGTTAGATTCTTAGATATGGAATTTAAGAATTCTTAGATGTGGATCAGAGGGCCAGTGAATTTAAACAATAGGGATTGTCAGATAGTCCTCCTCTGAGGTGGAGCAGTTGACTTTCCCATCCACTGGTTATTAGGTTGTCCATGAGGAGTAGAGGTTTCCCCAGATCATCTCCTTAACCTCTAGTGTCTGTCTGTCCTTCCTTCCTTCCTTCCTTCCTTCCTTCCTTCCTTCCTTTCTTCCTTTCTTCCTCCCTCCTTCTTTCTTTCTATTTTTTTGGAGGGTGTTTATGAAAGTTCTACCATGAAAGGAGGTTGGTGAAGTCCTATGTCAAAGCTTTGTTTAATGTATGTCTTTGGGGATAAGTTGTAAAGGCCGGCATGACAGAGTAAGGTTTTCACTTGTAGACATCAGAGGATGTGTGTGTCTTTCATGAAGGGTTGGGCGGTTCTGATTGAAGAGCAATACAGTAACTGTTAGAGCCACAAAACAAATGAAACAGGGCAGAAATAGATACCAAGTGTCCTCTTTACTGTCTTATCGCTACACTTCAACTTGAAGCTTGTATTGCCATCTTTCCATGAGTCTCATTTGAAGATTTATTATGTAAGTTTTGCAAGTAGAATTTTTATGAAGGGCAGGGTGCTTCTTTCCAAGGGAGTTCCAGTTTCCATAATGTGACTCCAATTTTGACCCTTCTGGTTTCTGGGTGGTTTCTCCCTGCCTGATTAGGGTCAGGGATGGGGCTCATTAGGAGAAGCCTGAGCAGAGGTGTGGGGTGGCCCAGTGCAAAACTTAGCATGTTGCCCAAAGTGAGCCCTCTGAGCGGCCATTGTGGAGAGACTGGGGCTGTAGTAAACAGTTTAACTACACTGTAATTTGAAGTCCAGGAAACACCATGTACTGAGTTTGCCATGTTTTTTTTTTACATTTGCAGCAAATGGTGGCTGTGTCCTCGTGTGTTCAGAATGAACTCTGAGGCAAAAGTAGGAGCACCAGGGGTCCTGGGGCTTGTATGTTGAGGTTTCCAGTCAATTTTCTGTCTTGATGACCAGTTCACAGTTACACCTCTGGCTGAAGGAGATGCTTGCAGTCTTAGAAAACAGAATAATGAGTAGATGAGATCAGTGACCAAGGAGACTATGAAGGTGAATCAGATTAGTATTTTTCGAATTCTCCCTGTGGATTCTCCAGAATAGCAGGAAAGCTTCATTTTTAAATGCCCTTTCCACACTGCCTCTCAAACTTTCAGAGAATTTCCCACAATTTACAGATAAGCTGACTAACCTACAGAGCTTTTGATTTAGTGATGACAACTGCTCTGTAGAGATTAAGCCAGCCTCGTTCCAGGAATTTGCTCTGCTGATACACACAGGAATGCCAGAGAAAGGAATCTGGCCAGCATATTTCCACCAAACAGTAGTTAACAAATATAAGCTCTCCCTCCAACTTGTTAATATATTTCTCATTTTCTTTTATAGTATCCACTTAAAGCCATTAGAAACACTTACTGAGTACTCAGAAGGCTAGACAGCACACCTCAGCCCCTTTACCCATCACATTGTGCATATGAGCTGTTTCCCTCAGCACTAAAAAGGTTCTTCCCCTGGGGATGAGCTGGTATGCTTCTTTTAATTAGTGGGTGAGAGCTACACGATCCATCCATTCATTTTCCTTTGTGCCTTTGCCCTTTGGAAGCTCACATCAAAGTTTTGTGGTCTTCTTCTCAGGCTCAGATTTCTTCCTATACCACCCCTGGGCCTGTCCTGATCTCCGTGTTTGTCTTTCATTCTGTGTTGAATGTTTGGTCTCACTGGGTTTTAATCATAAACTGTCTCAATTCATTTTCTTAAAAAGTAGAGAAGGTGAAAAAATATGCAAGTTTTCTTCATTTCTTCAGATGATAAAACTGGGTATCAGGAAAACATCATTCCACGGAAGAAGTGGTTGAACCGGAATCTTTGAAGCCCAGGTCAAGATTCTGTGGCTGCCTGTGATATTGTGTTTGTGTGTTGTCTTCCCCCACTGGAAAGTACAGACATCTGCCCTGAGCAAGACTGGACTTTCCTAATTGTTACCAGAGAGTGAGGCTGATTTTAACCAGGAGTCTCTGTTCTACCCGGTGTTTCATTTTCTCCTCTCACAACTATATTAAAGTAACTTGGCATAAAAATCGTCAGGAGAACATAAGAAGAGAAAAGTAATTAGTGAGTTTTAAAATTCGCTTTCAGTAAGCATGAAGATGAAAAGCCCTCTGGGTAAATCTCGTTTCTTTTTTCTTTCTCTCTCTTTTTTTCTCCTTTTTTGCTTTGCAGTCCTGGGAACTAGATTATCATTTCCCAAGTATGCCAGTAGCCATTGTTCTCCACAGAAGCCTGGGTAGAA